ACTCGGGCAAAGGATTTAAACAGAGTAAAATTTTACAAATACAGTAGTGATTTAAATGAAGAGTTTAACGCAAAATGCATTATGAATTATTTTGATAGAAAGGTGTTAGCATACAAGGAACAGGATCGTAAAAATGGCTTTTGTATTCCAAAAGAAAATTATGTAGATGCCGAATGGTTGAAGGACAACGTCAATGGTAAGTGTGCCAACTGTGGCTGTGGTTTCGTGTTGTCAATGGATTCTGGCAATATAAATTCTAATCTGACTTGTCAAAGGTTATGTAATGATCTTCCCCATACAAAGGATAATGTCATTGCCTTCTGTGCTTCTTGTAATAGATGCTTCAGTGATAAAATAACATATTGATATTTATTTTATAGTATTATTTATATATATGAGTGAAAAAGACAAGATAATCAGTGAGGTCTACTACGATCAGGCTGGGTTTGGTAGCATCGCCACCACTTACAAAGATGCAAAAAAGAAAGATGCATCCATAACAATGCAAGATGTCAAGGAGTGGTTTCAAGAGAACGTGGAACGGAAAAAACAACTGTCTGGATACAATTCGTTTATTGCCCCTGATATCAACTTTGAATATCAATTGGATCTGTTTTTTATATCAAAAAATGATTTAGATAATCAAAAATATAGGATAGGCTTATTGCTTATTGATGTATTTTCCCGCAAAGCCGTGGTGGTGCCTATTGCATCCAAGCAACCTGCCGACATCACGGCTGGGATCATGGAAGCATTAAACAAAATGGGAGGGAAACCCAAATTAATTTATTCGGATGACGAGGGAAGCCTCAACACCCAAGATCTTGTTGATTTTTTCAAGGACGAAGGGATCCAAAACTATAAAACACGAGGGCACCCCCATTTCGCCGAGCGTTTCGTTCGCACGTTCAAGGACATGCTTTTCAAGAGAGTTGATGCAGACGAGAAAAAGGGAAAAATTAATATACAATGGGTTGATTACATTCTTGAGATCATGCTGACATACAACAGTAAAATGGTTCATTCTGCCCACGATATGACTCCAAACGATGCCCACAAAAAGGGAAACCATCTTGAGGTCAAGATGAAGCTTGAGATGAACAGAATCAAAACCCGTAAATATCCCCCTGTTAGGGTTGGCGATGAGGTCAAAATATACCGCAAAAAAGGGATTTCCGAGAAAGAAAGAACGAGCAACTGGAGCAGTGTCAAATACAAGGTTTCAAGGGTTGAAAAAAACTTGGTCAAGATTATTATTCTGTTGCAGGGATGAATCGCCCCTATTTGAGGTCAGAGATTCTGAAGGTTTGACTGGTCTGGTTTGGGGATTCTACTGTTATTACAATAGAAAGGGAAACATCTCTCTCTCCCTTTCCTGCCACGCGCCACGACAACGACGACAGCAACAAGAACGGCGTCCTGAACCAGAACACAAGGCGGGGACTCCCGCTTCTGCAATGTGTCCAGAATTGTTTGTTTGCGCGCTGTCAAGTGCAAATCAAAGTGACGTCCACTGTCGCAGATTTTGCTCACACGGTGCTAGTTTGAGTGTCATTGTGTCACGGCGTCCTCTTCTGATGTGCCTCCGGTGGCCACGGTGGAAGAAGTTGAGAGTGACTGCGAAGCAGAGCCCGAAGTCAGTGCTGACTTCGTGCTTGGCTTGATGAAGGAGAATCAGGCCTTGCGGATTGTCATCGCTTCCGGTCTGGGCTACGAAGTCCCCGACAACATCCCCGCCCTTGAGGTGAACATGGCCAAGATCCAGTCAGTGCTGGATGTTCACATGACCAAGCTCGTGGAGTTGCGGGCGGCCAATGCCCAGACAAGCGGGCTTTTGGTGGCCTTTCCCAACATGGTCACCCGTGAGATGCCGGTCGACCGTGAATTCTTCAAGAAGACCGTCAAACAAGCAAAGGAGTTTGTCCTCACCTTCTTGGGCAAGAACCAGTTCAAGATGGACTACCGCAAGTTCGTGTTCATCACCGGCGACGGCGTGGTGATGTCCAACAACCGAGTGAACATCACCAACTATGTCAACTCAATGGGTCAGCGTATCAATGTTGCTCCCACTGGATCTGGTGGTGCGAAGACCATCAAGCTGAACAACATGGTCAAGGGACAGGAGAAGCACACCATGAACGTTGAACAGCTCAAGGCCATTGCCTCATCGGTGCCAGCAGAACTGAGGGGACTCATCACCGTGCAGAAGCTTGAGACGGACATCAGCAAGTTTGTGTCCGACATTGAGACCAAGGGCGCCAAGACCACCTTCGTTGAGTTGACTAAGTCCTTCTACCTTCAGAACCCGCAGACATACGAGGAGCTCCGCAAATATCTTGACGAGACCAACACAGGGTCGGTGGACAGCAAGCTCAACAAGGTCGCAGAGCAAATGTTTCACTTGGAGGTCTTCGTTGGCCACATTGAGGGACTTATCAAGGCAGTGGACGCAGGAAAGATGGCACTTCGTGTGTGCTATGACAAGATGGCACAGGAGAGCACGCGACGCTTCAACTTTAGCACCTTCGTTGAGTTGTTTGCCAACGTGAAGGCTGTGGCGAGTGCATCGGCCTCTCACGATGCCATGGTTCCTTGAAATTACGGGAGATATAAGATCTTCCGGTGTGGCATTTAAGGTGGCAACCGTACAGGCCATCTTAGCAGAAACCAGAAAAGAGCGCGAGTGCCAAAACATGCTTGCCATGAGTGAGTTTCTTACTTGCCATGAGTGAGTTTCTCACTTGCCATGAGTGAGTTTCTCACTTGCCATGAGTGAGTTTCTCACTTGCCATGAGTGAGCTTGCAATTGGTACATGTAGCATTGGTGTGTGCGCCACGCAGTTTGACGCAATCAAGTGCTGGTTCTCTATTTGTCGCACCCCCTTTTGCCTAGTCACTTGCGCCATGAAACCTCAGATAGCCAAAAATGGAGAATGTGATCTGCCTCTCTTCGTGGCAGATGACTACGACAATGCGTATCAGGCCTTCTACGATGCTGACGTGACAAAGGTTCGGGCGAACAAGAGACGAAGGAAAAAGAACAAGAAGAAGCACATTCATGCGAAGAGGTTCGAGCGCGCGGTACTAAGGTGCCTGTCTGATTTTGACCTGTTTGACACACTACACAGTAGGATGTGTAGCAGCGGGCCACAGCGCAGTGTTGATGAATGCAACATTGTGCGGATGCCGTTTCGCAAGAAGTGGTTCGGCCACTTGTATTGATGCTGTTTGCATCGTTTCCAGCACAGTGCGACACCAAATGTCGCGTCAAATAAAGACCGAAAGCATGTGAAAAACAAGACTGCGTTAGGCCGTTGATCACTGCTTTATGTGGCAACTGTTTTTTTCCAGAGAAGACTGTTGTCATTCGCCCCGTCGCAGGTTCACAAGCAGAACAACAACTACGAGACAGTCTGCATCAAGGGAGGGCACGGATGTTTTCTAGTGAAGGGGATATAGCCTTTCCCGATCCGCATTTTGCCATCCATATTTACTGGGATTGTTTTCAAGATTTGGGTTAACGGTTTTAATTCTCCCTTTTCCATTGGTCAACCATTTTTCGGGGCGAACATAGGGTTCTGTTTTAGACTGTTCGTATTTGTTGGAAATGGGAAAGGGTTGCAGTTTGGATCAAGGGAGAAATTATTGAGATCTTGGGGTTGCGATCTTGGGAATAAAAAATGTTGGTATGTAGCTTGGATTTTTTTGGTGGGATTTGTTGAGGTGGTATGTAGTTATGATTGTTGTTATTGAATGAGTGTAAGGGTGATGTTGAGATGGGGTAAGAAATGAAGATGGGTATGTGAATATGTGTTTTTTGGAGTTGGATTGGTTGGGTGATTGAATTTGAATGTTGAAAATAGGCTGTTTTAGTGGGCGTATTTGAATTGTGCCCAAAAGTGTGGGGGGGACCCTAGGACCGGATGGCAAAATGCGGACGGGAAAGCCCCTGTCTAACTGTATCCCCCCCCCAAATGTCAAAATCTCAGTAAGACTCACCAAGTGTTGCTGAGCACTACTGAGCCCAGCAAGGATTTGGCATGTGTGGGGGGGGGCTGCTTTCAATTTTGCATAGCAAAGCTGGATTTGTTGAAGCTTGCCCGGGGCTCGAAGCGTCATTGCGTGCTACTAAATAGTTACTGAGCCTGGATCGCCCATGTGCTGTGTTCTTGGGGGGTGATTGAGAGGTCCTGGGTGCGGGATTCCAAAAATGTGCTGTTTTAGGTTGTGATTGAGTGTTCCGGAGTGTTACTGAGTGCTACTGAGTGCTACTGAGTGCTTACTGAGCCGGGATTTCAAAAATGTGCTGTTTTAGGTTGTGATTGAGTGCTACTGAGTGTTACTGAGTGTTACTGAGTGCTACGAGTGCTACTGAGTGTTACTGAGTGTTACTGAGTGTTACTGAGTGCTACTGAGTGTTACTGAGTGCTGCTGAGTGCTGCTGAGTGCTGCTGAGTGCTGCTGAGTGCCTTTTGTCTGCTACTGAGTGCTTTCTGAAAGCTAGTGAGCGCTTGCTGATGGCTATTGAGTGCCTTTGAGTGCTACTAGGTCTGCATCCGCTGATGTTCAATTCCCAGGTGTTCAGTGCGCGGCGCAGTTGCAGCACAAATGACCGCTAAGAAAATGACAGCACACGTAGGGATCATTACAGTTCCAACTCAGCAAGACTCAGTAGCACTCATGATCAGTTTTGAGTGGTGGCCATGTCTTACTGAGAGCTGCTGAGCCTTGCTAGCACTCGAAGCAAAACACATGATTGAGCCTTACTAAGCCTTACTAAGGCCTGGCCTACTAAGCCCTACTAAGCCCTACTAAGCCCTAGATTCAAAATGAAAATGTTTCTTCATTTTTGGACCCGATGCCACTCAAAATCACATTTGAGGGGGGGGGATACGGAGGGGGGGTCAACTAACCTATGATAAGCGCTGCACATACAACGAGAACATGCTCATTGTGACACAAAACTCCCGTTGCGTCAGAACTCAGAACTGAGCCGAGCATCGTAGGTGCAAAGACTGCTGATGGCCAGGTCGCAGTCCAGCTTCGCTGGCCCGTTTCCGAGGCGCGCCCGGGCCTGCGACGAGAAAATATCTTCCGCCTAGCTCTCACTCTGATGGGCCAAAGCGGCTAGTCATTTGTTTCGTTTCATGGGATCGTAGGTGGGTGTGTGGGTGCGTGCGTGGAACGGGCACGGATCCATTTGGAAACCGTTTCAAGCATGTCGAAATTGTTTCGAGCATGTTTGCGCAGCGCCTTGTAGAGCTGGGCGTGGAGGTGTGCAGAGTCGGTGCAGATGGCCCCGAGCAAGAGATCCGAGTGGCCCCCGATGGCCTTCGTCAAGGACTCCAGCACCAAGTCCGCGCCCAGCTCCGAGGGCCGCAGCGACAGTGGCCCACACCAGGTGTTGTCCACCACCAGCCGCGGACGCCGCACCTCTCCGTTAATACCTTCTTCGCCTTTGCTACCCCTCCTGCACAGCCGGGCAAGGCCGACCACGTCGGCCGGGTGCCCTAGAGGGTTCGAGGCGGACTCCACCCACAAGAGCCGCGTCTCGGGCAGCATTGCGGCCGCCACGGCATCCAGGTCATCCAAGTTCAAGAAGGTGAACTTCACACCGTAGGCGTCTGCAGCAATGTCTTGGAAAGCCTCAAAGGCTCCGACATAGAGCCGTTTGCTCGCAATCACGTGGTCTCCCGGCGAAAGCTCGTCCAGAAGTACATGGTACGCTGCAGAACCACTGGCAAAGGCAACAGCAAACTTTGTGGCGTGAGCCTCTGCCACCAGCCTCTCCAGGGTGCCGAGTTCGCTCTGCGGATATCGAGTGGATGTAGTGGATGTGCTGGCTGCGTCAGAAGGATCAGAAGGATCAGAAGGATCAGAAGGAGAAGAAGGAGCCTTGGAAGGAGTTTTGGAAGGAGAAGGGTCACATGCGCTTTTGAGCATGCGGCTGGCAAAGCCTTCGAGCGGCTTCCTTTCGGCACCTTGGAAGGCGGCCAAGAGGTCCTTCAGCAGGTCCTCTGGGTTCTCCAAGCCAACTTCTACATGAACGAGTGCGCCTTGGACCCGTGCATGCGTGCGCAAAGCCATCCAGGGCGAAGTCGACGACGTTGAAGCAGCCGAAGAAGCCGAAGCAGCTGAAGAAGCTGAAGCAAATTTAAGCTGAGTCTCAAACTTGGAAGCACGGGGCGCGGTGGAGCAAAGGGAGAGCCGGGCCAGAGCCGTGCCCAAAGAGCCAGCCTGGAAGCCATTGAAACCCAGCTGGAAACTCGTGTCCGCCACACGCTCCACACGCTCCACCCACGCCGAGAGCTGGAGCTCTTGGACCAGGAGAGAGGTGCTGGCGGCCTGGCGATCTCTGCGAGCCTTCAGGCTCAAAAGCCCCCGGAAGGCCAGGTAGCACTCGAAGTTCCCCGGTGTGCTTCCCATGGTCTGCCGAAAGTACTGCGCGCTCTTGAACACAACCAAATCATCCGTAGAAAGCATGCAAGCGTGAACATCGTCGCGCCCGCTGATGAATGCGCAAGGATAGAGGGCAACGGAAACGCCTTCCGCAAGTAGAGCTGAGGTTGGTGAGGTTGGGGGGCATGGATACGCATCTGTGACAAGGATGGCGCCAACCTGCCTGCATGCCTTGGCCCAAGCCAAGAGCTCCATCCTCTCAAGTGCACCGTTGAGCCAGCAAAGCTTCGTTCCCGAAAGCAAGTCGACTCTCGCAGCGGATGAAAGCCCCGCTGTGCACTCATGCTGGGTGAGCTGGAAGGACCGCTTCGCTGCCATATCCCTGAAGAAGCGCAGCACATCTTGCTCACGACCAGTGCCCAACAGAAGCATCCGGTGCCCCGATCTCAACTGGGCCAGCAAGCTCGCCACCGCGGCCTCTCCGCCAAAATCTGAGAAAACATACCAACGAGCAACAAATTTTGAAAATGACAGCAATAGGCTTAGGTGATATCCCCAACAGCATGAGGAAACAACAGCAGGAAAACAAATGAGCGCCAAAAGAGGCCAGCCCAGCTCAGCCCAGCTCTGGCTGAGAGCTGAGAGCTGCGGCCATACGTGAACACTGGCATTCTCTGGGTGCAACGGTGTAAGGTAGGGCGGCTGCGATAGGCCAGCTGCGGAGTTCACCAACTGTGTTCCGTCAACAGTTCCTTGACTTCCTTCCCTTTCAGTCCCTTTTCCTTTCACACCTTTAACCCCTTCGCTTCCCCTGTCACCCCGTTCCCTTTGCCTCGTAAGTGTTAAAGGCCAAGACATGCGGAAGCGCCGTCTCCAGGCTTGCGTGGCACTGCTCGAGCTTTAACCGTGTGGGGTGGTCGAAGCGTCCATAGATGGCTCCTTTGGGATACGGAGTGCCTGGCGATTGATAGATGAACGCTTGTGACAGATGGATGGGAATACCCACGCAGCCAATGCCATCATCTACATCGCCCCGGTGCTGCAAGCACCGCGTAGCAGCACCCAGGTTCCGTAGATTGCGATTGCTCACGCGCTTTCCCTTCGCAGGCTTGGCATCTTCTGGCCGGAGTGTCGACACGGCCATAAGGAAGGCGTAGAGCAGCATGCAGCAGCCAAAGCCCTTGCACATGAGAGGGAAGCTCAGCTGCTGGCAAACGATGCTGCCTGCGGCAGGGCCAACAATGAAGGCGACCTGATCAGCCATATTGGACAGAACGAACACCTGACCCGTCCTTAGGTTGCTCAGCATGTTTATGTGTATCCGCGTCTCTCAAGCCTCCCAAACCTCATGACAGAATAGAGAGGGCAGCACATGCAGCACACAAGAACTGTGTAGGGCACCTTCTTTCTTCAAACTACCCACTGTGCAGAAGTCATCTTTGGAGATCTGCTACTGAGGAACTCTGCAACTCACTGCCGAGAGGCTTCTATTGGTCTTGGCCCTCTGAACAAAGTAGCCACAATATACAATGAAACCCATTTTTGAAACCCGTAGAACCAAAAAAATAGCGATACATAGTAATTATCACATTACGTTCTGGTTTGAGGTCCCATTGCGCAACTGAGGAGTCGTCCCACCATACTTCTCCTGGCTCCGATCGGCCAACATAGCTGGTGTGTTTCCATCAACGATCCCGGCCGCGACACTTGCGGCCGGCAGTGTAAGCGCAAGCAAGATGTAATCCGAATCGAAACGCTGCAAAGCACCGACGCCGCCCAGGAGCATCGCCAGAATTTGCAGCGTCCGGCCTTCAACGAGAGTGCGAAGCGTTGGGACAAGGCACGCGAAGAGGACGGCTGGAACTGAACACAGCAGCCATGTGAGGTTCTGCTTCATCTGGCCATAGCCCAAGCGGACCATGTACTCAAAAGCTGTGGAATCCAATGCGGCTATGAAGGCCAGGCCTAAGAACAAAGCAATAATCGGATTTCGCACATCTGGGTCCATGACCAGGCTCATCATGTCGACCTTCGCCAGCAATGGACTTGGAAAGTCCCGGACGCTCAAACAATGTCAAATAAAAATCTGGGTGACAAAAGTTTCGGAGCTCAACTCGGGAGACTTCAATCTAGGCAAGCCAAGCAGACAAACAACTCCTGGAGGCTCACAAGGAAAACACAAGGAATGCTTATTCATCGGGTTTTGTCGCAAAACTTCAGGAAAGCGTTGTATAATGGAGCGTCTGGAGCACTGCACGGTCAGTTTGCGTCTGCTTCTGCTGCGACAGGTCTGGCAGCCGGAAGCGCAGCATGAGAAACGTACACAACTGCGCGCCCGAGAGGAGGAGGAAAAGGGAGCTGGAGTCATCGACAAACAAGCCTCCAGCCTTCAGGGCAGATCAAGAAGCAGATCAAGACTTTGACAGGGATGGACCTGCAAGAGCAGAGCCCTCAAGCAGCCAGGAAAGCAAAACGTGGTAAACGTGGTAAAATGAGACATGGAGAAAACATGAAGACCATCACAGCCTGTGGGCCCAGGATCACCCCGGCATAGAGCCCGGCAGTGGCCGTGGACATGGCTTTCTTGCGTGCGGCGGCCTTCCGGCGGTTTGCTGAGAACTGTTGAAACGGCGCCTGAGGCCACGGGAGGCTACAGGAAGCTACCACCCGCCTCGTCGGCATGCATTCGGTTGCACAGGGCGAAGCCTCCCCAAACCGTTGCCGCCTCAGTGCAGCGGTGTGTTTGGGAAGAGTGTCACCTCTTGGTGGAGCAGGTGATAGGCTAGGACCTAATTTCCGCGAACCCTGTCACAGCGCACTTGTGAAATACCCCGCGCACACACACACACTTATCTCGAGAGGCTTCACTAGCCGAGATGCAAAGGTTGCAAAAACCTGCAACTGCTGAAATTGCTTGACAGATCACAATGCAGAACAGAAACCGGGAAGCAACAGCGAAGAGGACAGAAAAACAGTCAGGAAAAAGAAGGAAAGGCAGGTACGTCCAGCTGGCCAAGCTGGATATCCCACTTCACTGGTAGCTTCGTTGGACACAGTCCCAGTGAAGTGCTGTGTCCCCCTGCTCAGGAAAAAATCCGAAAGGTTTTAACGTCCGTGTTCCAGGACGGTTCACACACACGAGGCCCCGAGTGGGGCGAGCTCACTTGTGCAAGGCCCATTGAGTCTTGCAGTCTTCGACTGTGCGGGAAAGTTTCGTGGCGATGACAGACTATGCATGCTTGGCCTTGGTATTGATCTTAAGCGAACGGAGGAGATCAATCTCCTCCTCAGTCCAGGGTTGCGGGGCTTCGGGATCAGCCTCAGCAGCGGCATCAGTCCTGGTCGATGGGGTAGCTTCGCGTTGTCCACGGGTAGGTTTGGATGCCGTAGAGCGTGAGGAGGTCTTGTCGCGTGTGCGACGAGCTCGTTTTTTGTCAGGAGGAGAGGGTGGAGTGGGCGGAGTCCACTGATCAGGAAATTGTTCATCATGATCTTCGGGAAGTTGTTCGCCAGGATCTTCAGGAAGTGGTTCATTGAGATCATCGGGGGGGGTCAGGGGAGGTGTAGGTGGTGAAATGGCCATGTCCTCCACGTTGGAATGATTGGAGCTTCCGGTGCAAAATCCGGACCCTCAGCGAACTCGCGAATGGTAGCGAAGCCTTGCTGGGCAATGCCGATGATGAGTTCAAAATCTTCAAGCAGCCGGCGTGCTGTGTCAGGATCCATAATCGCAAAAGGTTTTATGTCAAACAGCTGCGGTGTGAAAGCAGGTCATGTGGGGATCTGCCGATGGGCGAAGGGTGAAAAAGTGGGTGCAATCTTAAATAGTGGCAAAGGAGGGCCGGTACGTTTTTTCTTTCTTTCTGCAAGGTGAAACCGTGTTGGTGGTACAACTTCGTCAACAATGCGAGATCGTGATCGTGCTGAAACTCAGGAAAGGAAACCCGGCTGATCAGCGTGCGTCTGGAGTAATATCCAGATTCCTTGTGCATCATTGGTGCGGCCGATTTGATGGAGAGCATGTTGTGCTTCTCATACGAGGGGATGAAGGAGATGGTGCCGCTCTCAAGGTCCAGTCGAAAACCCAAGAAATCCAGGGCGGCTTCTGTCTCCAAAATGATGTCTCCTCCGTAGAAGTGTTCGTCGCACAAGATGTGGGCTGCCGGGGTCGAAAACCATCTAGGAGTTGCGACCACGAGCCTGTTATCCACATAGCGGAGTAGGAGGGTGTCCTCAAAGGAGCGAGGTCCCGAAGTAGGATGGGTGTTGGCCCAAATTTGCTCGGCAACCGCAATTACCATCAGGCATAAAGCAGGGGATGCGGGGGATCGCATCGGGGCCCCGCGTGTTTGCCTGAAGGAACGGAAGCCGACAGAAAAGATCTGCATGTCAAGGGTAGCTTGGATGATTTCGGGGATGTCGTCAAGCCACAGAGTGCGTTGCGCCGGCTTGCGTCGGCGACGGCGTCCGTTGTAGACGCGGGTGGTGGAAGAGGTGTCAAGCGTGTCCACAGTGAGGTGTGCGGTGGTGGAATGTGGTTGCCGCTGTCGGTACCAAGTCAAAAGCAGACGCCAGGCTGCTAAGAAGCGGTCTTTGTCGATGGAAGTGAAGAAGCCGGAAAGGTCCTGGTTTCGACAGTCCAGAGGGGTGTGGCCGAGGAGGAGAAACTCATGCAAGGACCGCATGAGATCGAAGAGGTCGCCACCTGAAAATGCGTCTGGGCAGGCCGTGGCAACCATGCTGTGTGGAGCAATTTGGCGAGAGCGTCAAGCATGGGTCGGAAGAAGGCGCCAACGAAGCTGATGATGGGTCTAGCAGTGGTCCAGTTCTTCTTCCTCTTGGGGAGGATGTAGGCGTCGCTGGCCGTCCGAAACCGGTCACGGCCCATGGATAGCGGCCGCGGAATCTGCTGACAATGCTTTCTCGCTGCCGTTGATGGATCTCAATGGAGGGGACTCGCAAGGGAGCGAAGATGGCAGGATCCGTGAATGTGGCGTCCAGCATCTTGCCGTACACAGCGGGGCAATAGAGCATGAGTCGGGAGTCCGCATGATCTTCGCAATGGCGGACAAGGGGCTCCAGGGTTGCCAGAGCTTGTTGAACATGAGCATGTAGAAAGTAGTCGAAATGGAAATCGACAAGAGTAGAAAGGGTTGATGGATCGAGCGAGGGCAGGTTGTTGGTCCTGGCCCAGTGGTGGAACGCCTGAGTCAGACGATTCATCAAGACCCCGCGTGGAGGAAAGAAGGAGTTCCGCATTGAACCGGAAAGCATGCTGACTATGTCGGGGTCGAACAGCTCATGAGTGTCGGAGCCGGAGAAAAGAAGGTGTCCCTCATGCTTCGGGAGGGATGGGTGTCGCTTGGCGAGGTCGGTACATGTGCAGGACGTCTCGCCGAGACTCCAGGTTTGAGCTGCCTGGAGATGTGAGAACAAGGCACTGGATAGTTTCCGGTGTGCCTGGAAAACGATGCGTGGTTGCGCCACATGGAACGGTAGAGCACTGCGGGTGGTGGATCTGATAAACCCGCGTAGCTGGGACAAAAGCAAAGTCCGAAAGGAGGGGTGTGCGAAGAAAGGCGCAAGCATCGGTCTGGAGGGGCCGGGTGGGATAAGGCCTCGGAAACGCAGGCTAGATCGAATGGCAGAGATGCATGCCTGGTGGTGTGGTTCAGGCAAGTGCGCAGCTCCGTACGTAACGGATGGCATCGAATCGTCGTAGGGTGTTACTGCCAAGATCGCCCAAAAGTCGCCACAAATCCAGGCGGTTGCTCATGCGCTTGGCAAGGAAAGCTTGTTGCAGAGATTGGTAGTCGTAGTCTGCGACGCTTCCGCCAAATGGTGGCGAAGCCCATGTGCCGGGATTGAGAAAAGTCCAATTGTCGTATGAAGCCCGTGCGTGGCCGAAAATGTCTCTCGATGAAGCCAAAATTGAGAGACGGTTGCAGTTCTTGAATGTAGAACTGCTCAGTAGCGAAGAGGTCGGTTGTTGGGACGGCAATGTGGATGGGCACTGAAGCGTAAAAGTGGAAAACATCGAAATGCGCCCACCATTGAACGGCCAGCTCGGCGTTGTTGAACCTGGAGTAGCTTGCGGAATCGGCTGTGATCCCGAGCCATGAGAGAGGTGCGAGTTGCACCGACATAGAAAAAGGTTTGCCATTTGGGATGGCTGGTGAATCTCAGATAAACCGCGGAAGGGACAAGCTGAGATGAGAAGTCAGAATCGGGGGAATCCAGGCCAAGTCGGGCAAGCAGGGCTTTCAGTTGGCCAGAGCCACACGAGAGATGGCAAACGTCAAGTAGCTGAAGCTGTGCGAGTAGCCAGGAACAAAATTGACGTGCGGTGACGTCGTCGGTTGGGAAGAACCGGAGAGTGAAACGAAGGACAGCGAGAAATTGGCGGCAGTGGTGTTGCCAGAAATTGTGTTGCTGGGCTGTGCGTCGTTGTCGGTGTGCTGTTGAGAGTCACTGGTAAAAGTGGCTTGCAGCGGCCAGGATGCGGCCCAGGGCCGATGACCCTAGTTTGGATAGGGTTCTCACTGGTACGCCCCAGAGCACGGCGGCTCGTTCCAGTTGGGCTCTGGTGTCGGAGTCCAGTGTGGTGGCCCATTTGGCGCAGTCGTTAGACCAGCATTTTAGGGCCTGCTTGCTTTCTTTGCTGATCTTCTGGGAGTGATCCATCGCTGGACTTTGGTGTCGGAATGAGCCATTGGCAAACGTGGGGAGGGGGTTGGAGCAGGTCGCAAGGCTCCTTCCAGGTGGGCGGGGAGGGGAGGGGAGAAGCCGCCGGGGTGCCGCCGTGGGTGGCGGGGGCCATGGGGTTGCCGCCGTGGGTGGGGGGGGCCGGGGGAGAGGGGGAGTCGTCAGCGGAGCGAGCGGGGAGGGGGAGCGGGGGAATCGTCAAGTAGTGGGGCGTCAGACGTGGTCAGCCGCGGCCGCTTCATGCCGAAGTCCAGGGGTCAGCCGGGCGTTTGCCGGATGAAGTGGGGGTGAAGGGGATGGTGCTTGCTGTGCGAGTTGGCTGTGTGCGACTGCAAGCTGTTGCTGGAGCTGGAGGATGGTGGCAGCTGAAGCTGGGTCAGCCGTAGTGGTGGGTCGTAGGGAGATGAGGAAGTCGAAGATCTTGCTGGTTAGTAGCTTCATGGCTGCTGGTTTGGTGGTCGAGGTGCCCTCCTGTGTAGCAACGTGAAGAGCGAGGGCGTCCAAGTCAAGATGTCGTTGTCGGATTTGGCTGAGTAGCCCTGCGGCGAAGACTGACTCCGGCATTGACTTTGCGACAACGATGCGTACCTCACCTCCATGGGCGAGGTGGCGCAACCACCAGCTGTTCCACTGTTCGTGCAGGAAGTTGAGGAGGGAAACTCGAGCGATGTCTTGTCCCTCAATGCCCAATTGCCGGGTGAACGCAGTATGCGTTATGACCTTGGGCAGGTCGTACCCTGCGACGCGGGTGGTGTCGTAGTGATCGTCGTCGGGGTTGAACTCTGCTGGTGTTGGGACTGAGTGGAGGGGGCAAAGAGCAGGAGGGGTGGTGGCCTTCGAGGCGGTGGAGGGAGAGGGGCCGCGGGTGAAGTTGCCGGGGGGAGGAGGGGGAAACTGGGCGCGGGGAAGGCCGGTGAACGGGGGCCTGGGGCCGAGGGGCGGTGGGTGGAAGTGGGAAGTGGGGTGGCCGTGGGGTTGGCATGGAGTTGGAGGTGTAGTCGGTGGTGTCCAGGTCGTAGG